ACTCCGCGATACAGTAATGGGTGTAGGACCTCGTTAATCATCTGCATAAAGGCTGATCCAGAGCCTTTTAGGACGAAGGGGCAGACGGAAAATTCAAAATGTCCGAATGCACAGGTGAACGCTGTTTTCCACCTGTCCTCGGGCCTTATCCGCAACTTATGATAGGCCTCAATTAAATCAATTTTCGTAAACACCCTTGCCTCTGATAGTCTTGACAGCAAGTCTTTAGTTAGCGGCATTGGGTAATTGTTCGTCGTGCTCACCGCATTCAGCCCCCTATAGTCCACACACAGTCTCAACGATCCATCCTTCTTGTGCCTAAACAGCACTGGGGCCCCCAAGGGTGATTCGGAAGGTCTTATAAACCCTCAGGCCAAGTTTTTGTCAACATATTTTCTCAGTTCCTCCATCTCCTTGACTGACATGGGGTATAACCTACTTCTGTGCAGCTTGGCGTCCTTATTGAGTTCAATTTTAACTTCGACCCTTCTAGGGGGAGGAAGCTGATCTGCTTCCTTTTCGTCAAATACATCCTCAAAGTCTCTATACTCAGGAGGGATTTCTTTCACTTCGCCTGCTGTGCCTTCTTCCCCCTTGCAGCACTCCTCCCCCTCTTTGTCCTGGAAGCTTATGCTGCCCCTCCTCCAATTGACCTGGGGGTTAGCTTCTTTTAACCACGGCATCCCCAGTATTACATTGTAAGTGGCTATAGGGGACACTACAAAGGTTATGCCGCCTTCCCAGTTTCCTACCTTGCACCTTACTTCCCCCACTTCGAATTGTGCCGGGGCTCCGGCCGCCACCGAGCCGTCCAGCTGCGAGAATGCTATGGGGGTTTGTAACAGGGTTTTCTTATAACTTAGTTCATCTGCTAATTCTGGTGCCACAATATTTCTGGAGCAGCCGCAATCCAAGAGGGCTTTGCAGCTGGCCCATTTCCCCTCCCCTTCCAGCCTGATCGGGAATACTAGCATTCCTGGGCTGTGACTCACCAGGTCTCCCACTGGGGCCCTATGAGGGGGATTCTCTTCCGCTCTCTTCCCCGCGGCCGGCTTGAACTTTGGAAAATGGGGATCTCCCCCTTTCCTCTGCCGACATTCAGCAGCCCGATGGCCAAGGCGTCCGCATACATAACAGCCGCCCTTCTGCTCCCTGGATCCTCCGGTAGGGCCCTTCCCGATCGCGACTCTCTCCGCTCTCCGATTCTCCTCCTTGGCTCTCGTCTGCTGCGGCGCTGCTCCTTGATGTCTCTTGACCTGTGCCAACGTCGTCTCGATGCGGCGAGCCAGCTCGATCCATCCGCCTATCTCCTCCGGATCGTCGCGATGAAGTGCCCACGTCAAGATTTCCTTCCGCAGGCCCTCTTTGAATATTTGGACCTTGGTGGTGTTAGACCACTCCGGCACTTTTTCCGCTCTCAATCGGAACTCCTCTACGTATTCCGATACGGAGCGATGGCCTTGTGTTATTGTTCGTAGCCTGTCCCTCGCTCGGATCCTCTCGAGCGGATCCCTGAAGCGTGCCTCCATTGCAGCAAGGAACCGCCTCGTAGACCCCAAACATGGATCGCGCCTGGCGTGGAGCTGGACGTACCACTCCGCTGCTCCTCCTCTCAGCGCTGCGCCCACTGCCCGCACCCTGCTTGCCTCCGATCCGAAGGTAAGGGCGTTGTCCTCCAGATATCCCCTCACCATGGTCAGCAAGTATGCGAGTTTCTCTGCTTCTCCTCCGAACTCGATCCTCAGCTCCTCCCTTCTTGGTTGGTAGAGAAGGGGTTGCCTCTCCTGGTTCTCCGCTCGGGGTGGCCCTCCCTGGAGCCCACGCTGCTCCGGGGGCAATTCTTGACGCCCTGTGCCACGCCCGGCTCCGGCCGGGGGCACCAGGAACGTCTGCTGGGGCGCCAGTCCCCGGGGTTGTCTCTCCTCCTCGTCGCTCTCCGCAGGGGCCCTCCAACTCGTCTGCGTTTTAGGACGTGCCCCGGTTCTCCGATCACTCCTCTCCTCCGTGCTCCATATCGAGTCCCCTCGGGGTTGTGGCTCCTCTAGCAATGGGGCCAGCCACTCCATTACCCTCGACATCATCGCGAGGGGGCTCCTCTAGCAATGGGGCCAGCCGCTCCATTACCCTCGACATCATCGCGAGGGTGGTCTCCATGGACGCCAACTTCTCCTCCAAATAGTCTATCCTCTGCGGGGAGGGGAAGTCCAGTCCACTGCTTTCTCTCGCCGCTGCCTCTGCCCCCTTCACTCGCCTCTGCGTGATTCCGTTGGGCTGGGCATATGCGGTCGATGAAGCCAAGGCATTCACTCTCTCCAGCTCCTCTTCCGCATTCTCGAAAGGGGAGCCAGGTTCCCCTCCCTCCGTTGGGTCTTCCTCTCGTTGCATATAGGTACCTCACCACAGCCGTGGGATGGCACCGAGGAATCCTGGCTTAATGTAAGCTCACAGCAGCCGCTCCCCGAAAAGACACAAGACGCCAGTCCGTAATCAATCAGGAAACCTTTTACTACTGGATACGCATACAGAATGAAAGCCAGGATTGGCATACAGACGCACGTCAGCCCTTTTTATACCCTCCCCACATTCGAATCCCCTCTTCCCGCCAACCCAGGATCCCGCTCAATATTCCCCGCCAAGCCACCAACTGCCCTTCCCAAGGCCACCAGCTGCAATCCCGTATCAGTTCTCCATGTCAGGAATCCGGTTTTTTGCGCCACCTCCCAAGGCCAGGAAACCGAGTCCTGACACAGTTGCATAACCAAACTTATTTTTACTGTTTTCTGGCTCTCTTCAATCCATTTAAATAGAGGTGAACATAGTTCTTACCTGATGGTTTGTTGGGCCAGTCATCACTCTATTCCAGCTTTGTGTCATACAGTGAATCAATGTGAGCATTAGCCAACTGTAGGTGGGGGCATGTGAAACTGGAATTGGCTTTTAAGTGTTGGCTGTACACAAGTTTCGGTCTTTGCTCTAGGCAGGATCATATCTTAAATGTCAAAGAATAGGTACAAGAAGTTTCTACACTGATGTTCATATATTGAAAAATTATGTGTGTGCATGTGTACAAAACAAAAAAAACAGTGCTGCCCTTTATTATTTTTAAGGTCCTAAAGAAACAGCAGCAAACTAGCAAATCTGTCCCTAAACTGAAAGTATGTAAGAAAATAGGAAGCAGCAGGCAGTTACAGTATTCTATTTGTGTTACTTAGTATTAGTCCCCATTCATATTTGTTTTGAAGTCACCATCCAAGATGCAAATATGGAGTCGTTGGTTTCATCCAGACTTGCACAGCATATGCAGCCCCCCCCCCCCCAAAAAAAAGGTTTTCAGGTAGTTCAAAGAGACTGCCACTCCCACTGGTTCCCCTGCCACCACTCATGGGAGTTGTAATTTCATAAGGTCTCACAAAACTACAACTCCCATGGTTCCTTTGCAGTGGAGACCATTCTCTTCCCACCCAGCTCCAGCATGGGTGAGGCGGAGAGGGAAAGGCAGCCCAAAGAAAGAGAAGGGGAGGCAGTCCTATCTGAAACACTCCCTTTACCTATGCTATAAAGTCTACACCAGGAATCCTCAAACTGTGTTCTCCAGCTGTTTGGGCCTCCCAGCCCAGAATACCAGGATACTGAATAAGCTGGCTAAGGATTCTGGAAGCTAGAGGGCTGCTGTTTGAGGATGCTTGGTCTACACTGTAGATGCAGCCCCAGCCCAGGTTCCCTTCAGACCTAGCTCCAGCTGGAAGGGTGGGCTTTGGGGCACCTCAAGTTCCACTTTCTAGGCTGTGCTCTGGCAGTTCTTCCTCCTCCCCCTTCATTCTCTAGATGCACCAGTGGCAGCCACAATATAGCTGGAGCTGCAGAGGAGGCAATGCAACCATGTGGTGGGGCAAGGGGCAATACAGCTGAAGAGACATGAAGCTGCTGGAAGTTAGTTGGGGACCTGGGCAGAACCATCGGTAAAGTCATTTGGCAGATGAGAGCACCTTGCTTGCCCAGCTGCTCCTCCCAATTATATTGTGCCACACCGCTCATCATTTTTAAGGTACTGTATACACTCGAGTATAAGCCGATCTGAATATGAGCCAAGGCACCAAATTTTACCACAAAAAAACCTGGGAAAACTTATTGACTAAAGTATAAGCTTACAGTGGGAAATGAAGCCACCACTGGTAAATTTCAAAATAAAAATAGATACCAATAAAATTGGAGCCCCCGGTGGCGCAGTGGGTTAAAGCACTGAGCTGCTGAGCTTGTTGATCGAAAGGTCGCAGGTTCGATTCCGGGGAGCAGCGTGAGCTTCCGCTGTTATCCCTAGCTTCTGCCAACCTAGCAGTTCAAAAAAACATGCAAATATGAGTAGATCAATAGGTACCACTCCGGCGGGAAGGTAACAGCGCTCCATGCAGTCATGCCGGCCACATGACCTTGGAGGTGTCTACAGACAACGCTGGCTCTTCGGCTTAGAAATGGAGAGGAGCACCACACCCCAGAGTCAGACATGACTGGACTTAATGTCAGGGGACTACCTTTACCTTACCAATAAAATTACATTGAGATATACAGCTTCTCTCCAGCTTCTAATCCTCATCCTCCTCTCTCTGCTAAGAGGCGAGGCCACTTGCCTTCCTCTCCTCTCTTGACACAGATCCAGCTCAGTTGCTGTGCTGAAAGGAGAGAGGCACACAGCTGGTGGAAGCCCTTCAGAGGGCACCATTCAGCCCCACACCTTCCTGCCAGGACCTTCGAGTATATGCCAAAGGGGCCTTTTTCATCATAAAAATGCTGAAAAACTAGGCTTATGCTTGAGTATATACAGTAAGTCAGGAACCTTGACTGCATAGACAACTGTGCTGTACACCTCGCTATCCCACTCCCCCAAATACCCCTGGAGATGATACTGTTCATGTTAGTTTTCCTGCTTGGCCTTTGTTTCTAAGGGAAGACAAATGTACATTCTAATACAGTTGAAAGAGTACCAACACTAAATAATATATTCAGAATTGTAACATGAAAATTATAATGGTAGCAATGTAGCAAAATATTTCTCTTCTTTTTAGCATTCATGTCTGATGGAAGTTGCACATTGGGCAAATGACTGCTAGCAGAGCATTTGTGGTTGAGAGTTGGATTGGAGAGAAAGCAGTTCTTTCTGCTCTGGTAGTAAGTAGTAAAGAAAATGCACAGGCTACCCGGGGTCACTTTCATGCCAAGTGGTTTAGTTAATCATTCATGTCAGTCATTTAACCTCTTACCACTTGCAGCTAATTGGAAAATGGAAAAATGTTGTGTTGGATCCTTTGAGTATCTTGTGTGAAGAAAAAGTACATCTTAGGTATATCTCAATTTCACCCTCCATTTTTCCCTCTTGCTGTGTTATCTCTTATACTGTTTCAAAGGAGCCAACAATCATTGCTAGCGGTTTTTCAGGGTTGCAGCAAGTAAGAGTAAATCCTTTCCACAAGCAAGTCTGATTTCAATTCTTAGAATTCAGCCCAGTATATTCAAAATAAGACCCAATTCACGTATGCAAATAAGTCACAATTTAGTGCTATATAATACACATCTGTGAACCATCCTTTAGGTATGACAGTAGGGAACGCTTTCGTTTTATTGAATATTGTTGAATTACCACTTCTATCATGCCCCACCATTTGTTGGGATTGTTGAGATGTATAATTCAAGGATATTTGGAGAGTCACAGGTTCCCTAGCCTTCAGAGGAGAGAAATGTTATGTAGCTCAGTCTGGCTCACAACATGGACTGCCCATTCCTCAGTAGCCAAATGCTGGCTGTTACTAGAACTATTACTAGTACAGTAGAGTCTTGCTTATCCAATATTTGCTCATCCAATTTCTGTATTATCCAGTGCAGTCTGCCTCCCACCCAGATCCACAGCTGTTTCAATACATTGCAATGTTTTGGTGCTAAATTAGTAAATACATTAATTACTACATAATGTTACCATGTATTGAACTTTTTCTGTTAATTTATTGTCAAACATGATGTTTTGGTGCTTAATTTGTAAAATCATGACATAATTTGATGTTTAATAGGCTTTTCCTTTAACCCTCCTCTAATCCACCTTTTTCACTTATCCAACATTCTGCCGGCCCGTTTATGTTGGATAAGCGAGACTCTACTGTATAATGTGTTTTTTGTAAAATATACACAGACACACTGAGTGAAAGTCACTTTTACAAGATTTTTTATGAAACCGAATGTTGTCCCCCTCACGGGGAAAAGAATAGTGCAAGAATGAATCTGTACATGTTTCTGGATTTGTGTGACTGTAGCTGTAGTTGGATTCTGCTTCAATCTGCAGTGTTCACTCTCCTGCAGTCATCTCAGAGTAAGTTGAGTTTTTCTTTTCAACTTCACAGTGCCAGGAAATCCCTAAATAATGGGATTAAATCCAATTCAATCAGTTATGGCTTCTAACTATCTCACTAGTATAAGGCAAATATTTTCTTCTGTGATCAAGGATTATAAGAGTATTTTTGCCCTCCATTTTCAAGTGTCAGTGTTTGACCACACTCTCATACAAATTTGTAATAATGTGACCTGTCTTCCTGGAAGCACTCCTGCTTCTCCAAAAGGCTACTACAACAGTAAAACAGCTTCCAGATAATACTGATTTGCTTGCAAGTGCCTGATAAATCTGAAATTCATCTTTTAACTCAAGTGCACCTCTTAGTTTTTTTAGGAATATAGCCTTACAAGTATGAGTCTTTTTTCTTTAGTGGAAAAAAATAGACAAAACAGGCATCAAGTTAACATCTGACAAGACAGATTACAAACTCTTACAAAATACAGTTATCTGCACTTTTACCATAAATAAACATTTAAAAAACATTGACAAAAATGTTCATTGGCCAGGAATTATGGCAAAGTGTTGCTAGAAAGGACAAAAAGTAATTCAAAGTGAATTTAGGCACATTTCCCCCCTCTCTCACAATATACACCAAGTCATGTAAATTTGTAAAAGTCTTGGTTGTTAGTCATGCTTCGGATTTGTCTGTTATTACTGGTTCCATCTCAGTAGTTTAATCTTAGCTAAGGTAGGTTGAAAGTGCCTCGGTGGAAACGCTCAGTCTGTTTCAGGATTTCTGTGAAAAAGGGTGAGGAAGGGGAGTCCATTGCTCCAGAAAAATGTCTAACAGCAGCAACACTAAACAGCTGCTCATAGCAAAGGCTAAGGTGTTGTACGGCTTGCCATATCCACTTGCCTTCTTGGTCTAGCAGCGTTACTGGAACTGACAGGGAATCACGTTCCAAAAGGAAAAGCGGTCCAAAAGGAAAGAAACAAAATGAAGAAGTTCAAGGAAAGTAAAAGGAGTGGGAGAAGTGGGGAGAGATTTCTAACTCTCTTGTTTTCTCTTGGGTATTCAGTGAACTGGATGCAGGTTCAGGTCACTTTCACATACATACAAATGCACATCTGACAATGTCATAATACTTCTGAATCTAAGTCTGGCCAAAAGGAATAATGGGGTGGGGAGGGAAAATGCTGTCCCTCGGAAAGCCGTGAGAGGGAGCCAGTGCTTAGTTTTGCAGGATTTGATGCATAAAGTGCTTTCTCAGAAGATATTTCAGGCACAAGATTGGGCTGCTTCCCCTTATTTTCGAAAGGGTGCTAGCCTGCTGATGTTCTGCCAGAAGTTGGAGGGCTTGCGTTTGGGCTCTGCCAACATGAACACTTGCTGTTGAGGAAGGTTGGTAGGTAGTGTGGGGTGCTTTTGGCGCATCAGAAAATCATAGTATGTCCTGGTGACCACTGTGGAGAAAATAAGCAAGAGGACAAAATGTTACTTTGATTCCGTCTTGATGCATTTTGCTTATATAAACTGTTATACTCGAGAAGGCCTTTCCTTTCTTCCATTGGAAAAATTCTACCTTTTCTTTTCAAGAAAAGTTTTCATTAAAAGTTTTCATTATGTTGTCACAGAATCCACTCTTTAAGTTTTAATTTCTACTTTAAAGACCTTTGTAAAAAGCCGATTTTATTTTGATTATAAGATTCAGCATCCTCCATGGATAGCTTCTTTAAAGTTCAGAGCAAATTTACCAACCCATTCCCACTGAAGCTGTCAAGCCCTACAGAATTTTTTAAAAGAACTTCCATACTTTCAAAGCCCATTTTCTACCATATTTCATGATATTTTGTAAGGGGCATGGAAGGCAGATGAACGAGGATCTCTAATCTCAAGCTATATTCAGTATAGTTTCTACACACAATAACTCATTAATGGGTGTGTGTTTTTTTCTATATGATTATGCTGGTGAAATATATTGTTTTCATTGCCACAAGGTGTCGGTCACTAAACGAGCAGATTTATTGACAGTTATTTTGATGGCTAGCTGCAACTGCAACATCAAGTTGCACTCCTACCCTAAATACAGATGACCCAATAGGTTTTGCTGCTCTAGGCACACCACTACCACTACCAATTCAACATACATAGTTCTCAAGTTGTTTTGATACCTATGAACTCAGATTATATAAGAAGTGTTTAGGTTAAGAATTCTTATTTTCATATTGTTCTGCTGTGATATAAGGGGCAGGGAGAAAGATGGGAAAGAAGACCAGCTACTTGCCTTTTGGTTTTCCACTCTGGTTCTGTTTGTTGGCATTAAGCATGGCTTGTTTCTTCTGTACCTCAGTAATGGAAAAACCTTGAGAAAGAAATAAAACCCATGAATGCAGCCACACTTGCAAGGTACATCATGGCATTAAATACACAGCAACCTGAATATATGGAGGACGGGAAGACAACTGGAAAATCCTAATGCATGCAGCAAATATAACACTACCACTGTAGTTTTAGACAAATTTACTTGGAAATCAGTTGAGCTTTTATGAACTGCATCTCCCAGAATCCTCCAGTCAGTATGTTCACTGGTCTTGCACACTGAAAGACTGTTTCTAACTGAAGAGCAGCTACATCTCAGCGGGGAATCACCTGGCACCAGCAACATCGTAGGGAGCCTCCATGGCCCACCACTGCCTCTGCCTGGCTCCTTTAAGGGCCCCCGCCTCCTCGCAAACCGGCAACAACTACATCTGAGTGGGGGGCGACCTGGTACCAGCAACATCTGCCTCCACGGTCCCCACTGCCTCGTTGCCTGGCCCCTTTAAAGCCCCCACCTTTTCGCCACTCAGTAGTAGCTACATCTGAGTGGGGAACTGCCTGGCGCCAGCATCATCTGTGCAGGGAGCCTCCACAGGCCCCTTGCTGCCTCACCTCCTTGCTGCCTGGCACCTGCAACATCTGTTGATGTGTGAGGACTACTTACCTGGATTAGCTAAACTGCTCTCTGAGGCTTTTTCATCATTTACTTACTGATTGTGTTGGGCAGCCTTGGTGGCTCTGGTCCCCATCACAAACTTTCATTATAATTGCGCTGCCTACAAGATTGATAATTGATACCTACCCAAACCGGCAAATGATCATGTCTGATGATTTTAATGATTTTAATTTATATGTTATTATTTTAAGATATGTAATGTATTGTTTTTATTCGTATATGAGGCATTGAATTTTTGCCATTTATTATGCTGTATACTGCTTTGAGTCCCCCTAGGGTTGAGAAAAGCAGTATAGAAATGCAGCAAATAAATAAATAATGAAGTCCAAAAAGGAAAGAAGATTCCAAGCTCTGGAAGTATCCCATGTTTTCCATGGAACGGACCTCCAAATAAGTGTGCATTCATACACAGGGCTGCTGCCTAAAGGTGTGGCTTCAGTGTAGAATTTGTCCTGATGAAACCTAGAACAATTTTAAGTGGAGCTCAAGCCCAAACGCCTGTGCTTTTCATGGAGTGTGATCCATAATCAACTTGGCTATTCCCACTGGTACCTCCTTAGCATCCCAAATCAGTTTAATGTTTATTGCTCCCTCAGTAGTACAAGTATTAAACAGAGCAAATAGCTCCTGCAGTCCTGTCGTGACCACACTCAACTAAAAATACTGGTGTCAAGCATTAGCAAACATGAAAGATATGAGGGGGGAAGCTATAATAAAGGAGAGGAGCTTCATGGAACAACAAAGTCCTAAGAGACCTTTACAGAATATCAAAATTATTAGAGCATGAAGTTTTATAGATCATAGCTCACCCACACTATACAAGCACACACCCTACATATGAAATTCTGGATAAACATGCATCTCATGAAAATGTGTTAAGCCTTTAAGATGCTAAAGGATCCTAAGTTGCTTTTACTACATCAGGTAGGAGGCACACCCTTTGGGTGTTCTTACAATGATGAGACTTGGATTGCCCAAGAAAAGTTTCTGAGCCTTTAGAAAGGACATAAAGGAGGTAATGGATGTGGAAACCAGTTCCAGGAATGGGGCTCCACTGAAAGGCATGGAGACACAATGAGAAAAAGAAACGGAACAAATACTTAATGGGTTTGAGGCATTAACTTACACAAAGGGTCTTATTAGGCCAGTGTATTGATAAGGAAGATTATCTAAGATGTATATCTGAGAATTTGTGTATTATTTTATTTATAACATCAAGAATAAGTGGGAGCATTCAGAAACTGGGTGGCTGAGAAACCTCAGGGGAAGAGGTTCTACTTCCATAACAGCTTTCCAGTGTTTCTAGTCACAATCCTGCTTGTAGTTTCATACCAGTTTCTTGGTCGAGCTGAACCTGCTTCCTTTCATTCTCAAACGCCTTGAGCCAACGCTGCTTCTGTTCTGGCTTTTTGCCGCAGAATAAGTGGACTTCTTCTGTGTCCTTACAGTGCAATTTGAATGCATTTTTAACAGTGACGTTGAAGTCCTTATCTTTCCCATCTTCCACATCCAGAATCTCCATGTTGTCCATGCTGATTCGAGTCTTGTAATACAAGATATCGCGACGCAGGAGATCCTAAGAGAGAAAAAAGCAAACATGTTCTGTTCCAGCTGCTTCTCACACTACTCTGATACAGGAATGTTTGGTGAAAAACAATGCACAAAATAATAAAGGGTTTTTTTTCAATTTGGAGTTTCATATTTGCATTAGAAATGGATATGCATTAATTTTAACGATTTCTTTTGCCTGGGAGTTAAACAGTTCATGGGGACATAGTCCAACAAATGTTACAGGAAAGAAATAAAAGGGTCACCTAATGTGGCCTAAAAGAATGGCTATATCTAAATCTTCTCTAGCAAAAGAATAAATAAGATAAAGGAATGTTAACATGAGTTATTGCTGACCTACTTCACACTACATAGCTCTCTTTAGTTTTTTCTCATGTTGGTACTAAAGCAAGAAGTCAAGTTATAACATTGTATCTGAAAAAAACCCTTCATTTTTAATTGCTCAGGGAAATGTATGCTGGGATTGAACTCATTAAAGAGATTGTAAGAACTGCACAAGCTTTCCATCTTCCTCTTGCAATATTGTAGTTAGTGATGAGTGTGTTTCAAGTCAGCACATAACAAAGGGATCTCATCAAAGATCTAGAGCCCATGATGTGTCTGAACTCCTCAGAAATGAAATAATTTCCAGTCTGGGTAACTGATGGGCTTCTCTGCATATTTACACAAGCTGTGGGAGTTTATTGAGAGCTCAAAAAGCCAAAATATTTTAAGAACGTGGTTAGGAATTGTATTTTTGTACAAAAATGTGCCTTGTTGAGGAAACATATTAAACATGATGCAATGTTAATAGGACTTATCAATATCAGAGACTTCCAAACACCACACTCCAATTACCTTCTCTCTATATCATGAGATGATCACTTCACTCATCTTCAACTGTTCTTTGAATGGTTAAAGTGTGCTTTCACACAAATGAGTGTAGTGCATGTGCAGAATCATAATGGGAATGTTCCCGAGATGAGTAGCTATCAATGGGAACTGCACTCCCTTCGTTATGATCACACATGTCCTAACCATTGTTCCAACTGCTTTTCAAAGGATTTCATATCTTGCAAAAAATCTCTTGCAGTACTGAAGAATGCTTACTGAGTTCAATGAGTCCATGTGGAATATACAAAGGAAACCTTGTAGGTCCCTTTAAACTGTATATAGAAGAGGCTTTTTGCAAGTATTTCTCAGAATGCCAAAATTTCATTGGCATCAGGTACACAGAATAGCACTGATTGAATTATTTTTCATCGGCAGATCCTTTTGGTAATCCTGCTTTACGAATTCAGTGGAGCTTTCTAGATTCTTCATCAAATTTCCCCCCAGACGTAATTTAGATATGAAATCTTCCAGGTAAATTGAAAGGATTACATACCCCCCACCCCAATTTTTTTCTTGATGTCTTGGTTTTTAGACCTGATCCTGGGGTTATCTGAGGTGCATTTGGTAGACAGTATCAGCTCTAGTTCCTTACTTGGTTATGGTTTTCCATGGGTGAGCAAATGGTGACTGGTACATAGCATATGTTCTGTATCTCAAAAGCTAAAGCTGATAAGGGGAAAGTGTTCGGCATCTAATTTACCTGCTTGTATGCCACCCTGAGTCACCTTTGGACAGAAAAGGACGGGATAAAAGTGTAGTAAATAAAATAAATAAAAAATAAATAAAACTGGTGCCATTTCTGGAATCAGCAGGTCAAATGTACTCTGAAACATGCTAACATTTGAGGCACAAAAATGTGTGTTGGCCAGCGTTACCAAATTGGGTTTTCTGAGGCACACTTTGCAAACTCAAGGTTATATGTACCGATACTGAACTATGGTGCACTCTACCATTTCAATTAGTTTTGCACCTACATTTATCTTATATAGATAACAGATATTCAGCTAAGGCAGATGGGCAGTGGGTATTTTTTAGTTCCAAAAACCCACAACGGTGTTTGTTCATTATGCAGTATCAATGCTATCATAAATTTTGACACAAGTAGTTTAGTGAAAGAGAACATCTCTTTGATTCATTCTGAAACAGATACAGAGTGACCCATTACAGTTATGGTAGGAGAACAATGCCTCCTATGATGTCTACTTTCCTGTTATTCTACCTCTCGGCTTTGTAGGATTTTTACTTAGGTGTGCATTTTAATGATTAACCTTAAAGCTAAGCATGTTCAAGTGGAAACACGACTGGAGACAACCAAGCCATATAACCATAGAATCTGACCCAAGGTTTAGAACAAGTGTGGGAGGCAATTCTGATGGATTTAATTTGATAGCATTTTCAGCTGCTGCTTTTATCTTACAAAAGCTGAACACATCACTTCCCTCCAACGCTGCAGGAAAGCGGTCCACACCAGGGTGCTTTCATTAAATGCATGAGCAGAAAAGCACAGAAGGCCAGCATGGAAGAAACGTCAGCTGCGTAGGCACATTGGCAGTATTACACCCTTTCCTTGATTTATATGAACAGTGATGTTTAGATCAAATGCTATCATTGTAACATGCTGAGGGGTTCTTTAAACAAAGGCTTGAGTGCAAAATGGGAAAGAGCATTGGGCAAAAAGGTATAGTTCTGCTGTCCCCAGGAGGGTTCGTCCACAGAGACAGAAGCAATGGTCACTTGGTTAGCTTACCTTCTTGCAGCAGACAAGCTGATGATCAAAGAGGAAAAACATTCTTTGATGGCTCTTGGCTTGAGGCTGGGAAATTTTGGTTAATTCCCCCGAGTAAATGAGTTCAGAACTCTTGACAAGGACATCTTCACCCTATCATCCACAAGGCAAGAGAAGTGTCATTTCCCCCCCAAAGGTAATATACTGTGGCTTGTTATGAAGGGGCCAACTAACTTTAGAAAATCTCCCAGCTTTGCACTCTTTACTGTTTCCCTATTAAAATACATAAGAAATAGGACACCCCCCCCCCCAAAGTAAAGGTAAAGGTTTCCCCTTGGCACTAAGTCTAGTTTAGTCCAACTCTGGGGGGTGTTCATCTCCATTTTTAACCCAAAGAACTGGCGTTGTCCATAGACACCTCCTAGGTCATGTGGCCAGCATGACTGCAGGGAGCGCTGTTACCTTCCTGCTGAAGCAGTAACTATTGATCTACTCACATTTGCATGTTTTTGAACTGCCAGGTCGGCAGAAGCTGTGGCTAACAGTGGGAGCTCACCCTGCTCCCCAGATTCAAACCGCCAACCTTTTGGTCAGCAAGTTCAGCAGCTCAGCAGTTTAACCGACTGCGCCACCAGCCCCCCTCCAAATTAAATGCAAATTCTCTGCTCTCAATTCAGATGAACTTTTCATATTTTGTTTTCTTTTTCTATCTTTGCATTTGGGGTTGTTATAGGCCATGATAAAGTCAAAAATATTTGGAAGAACTATTTCCTTCATGAATTTTTTTTTAAGTTTGTTTACCTCCCAATCCTCTATTGAACTCTGCCATTGAGCAATTTTGTCGATGTTTTCCAAACGTCGCTTCCTCTCATTGATGAGCCGTGCTACGTTCTTCATGGCATTTAGGGCAGCTTCAACATCTTTAAAATCCCTAGATTTTTTTTAAAAGATCATGAAATGTGGCAACATAAACCAGGCAAAAGGATTCATCTTTTATTTATAAGCATCAGTGACTACGAAGAAAATTGCTGACCAAAACAAAATTTTAAAAATCAGGAGGTCTGTTCCTGAGTTTAAGAACATCTGGTGTAATTGTTCAGGGTTTAATAGTTTCCCCCATTTGTGACATGGGCATAATATGGAACCATTACAATGTACAACTTATTTTGCCAATGCTTATAAAAGATCTCATCAGTATAAATAATTGTGGAGAACATTTTCATGACATATATGCAGAATATAAACAAATATGTCACTGGTAATAGAGACAATTGCACTTTGGTGCTTCTCCCTCGATCTGAAATGTTAACTTGAAATCCTCCCACACCACATTGTTCCTGCTGTGATAAGTAGGATGTATCTGTCTGCCCTTTCTTGGATGTTCTTTCAATACCAAGGAGGACAAGTAGGAATTACCATCTGTTTACCGGAAGGAGCTTCTGGCATAGCGATCTTCACTATTTTTAAAGCAGGAGACACTTTGGCCTGTATCCATGGTGCTATCATAAGTCCCTCTGCATTAGAAGTTGTGTATTTGCAGATTTAATGCAAAGGTGGAATCCAATGCAGTTTTAAATCATATAAGCAAATAACCTTTCATAAGATTATAAGATGCTGCTTCCTTCTGCATTGCTTCTCCCATCACTTTGCCTGGGAGTCAGTTATCCTTCTCAAGATCCTCCTCCCACTTATGACTTGCAAAGTTCTGGTCATGAGGTTGTGATGTTGATAACAATGATAACTGGGAAGTCGGCTGGGACAAGGTTTCTTTATTGTTAGATGCTAAATCAGTGGTTCTCAACCCTCCTAATGCCGTGACCCCTTAATACAGTTCCTCATGTTGTGGTGACCCCCAACTATACAATTATTTTTGTTGCTACATCATAACTGCAATTTTGCTACTGTTATGGATCATAATGTCAATATCTGATGTGCAGGATGTATTTTCATTCACTGGACCAAATTTGGCACAAATACCCGATATGTCCAAATTTGAATACTGGTGGGGTTGGGGGGATTGATTTTGTCATTTGGGAGTTGCAGTTGCTGGGGTTTATAGTTCACCTACAACCAAAGAGCATTCTGAACTCCACCAATGATGGAATTGAACCAAACTTGGCACACAGAACTCCCATGACCAACAGACAATACTGGAAAGATTTGGTGGGCATTGACCTTGAGTTTTGGAGTTGTTGTTCACCTACATCCAGATAGCACTGTGGACTCAAACAGTGATGGATCTGGACCAAACTTGGCACAGATACATAATATGCCCAAATGTGAACACTGGTGGAGCTTGGGGGAAAATAGACATTGACATTTTGGGAGTTGTAGTTACTGGGGTTTATAACTCACCTACAATAAAAGAGCATTCTGAACCCATCAACGGTAGAATTGGGCCAAACTTTCCACACACAACCCCCATGACCAACAGAAAATAGTGTGTTTTCTGATGTTCTTTGGAGACCCCTCTGACGCCCCCTTGTGACCCCCCCCCCAGGGGTCCCAACCCCTAGATTGAGAAACACTACGCTAGATGCTAACAATGCAATATTATACATGTTTGATGTACATTTTAAGAAATTCAATGGGAGTCATTCCCAAGTAAGTGGATGTGAGTTTGTTGCCTAAGATTTCAAGCACTATAAGAAAAAAACCAAAATCAAAATGGAATATGGAGAAATGCTTACAATAAGTGTAAAAATGACTAAGGATTGCATCTTGAAACAAAGTCACTTCCCAAGCATGTGTGCACACATACACAGAGAGTTTTCCTTACCTGTGTTGTGGGTTGGTATATTTCAGCAGTTCTGCAAGCTGTAATGGGTACTTGCAAATCTTCTGCACCGGAGTCAGGAGGAAGCCATCCAGAGAGATGTCAATCATCTTCTGAAGCAAGCGACATGCTTCAAAGAAATACACGTACTTGCTCACTTTGGTGAGTCGGGAAAGTTCCACACAAGCATTTGGATGGTTGTTACAGTACTCAGAATAGATCTGGAACTCATTTTGCTGAATTAAAAGACAAAGATTATATTAATTAAATAGACCTTACAGCCAAATGACTTACAATTTAGGAACATAGGAATCATTCCAGAGTACCTTATAAAATATAAAACAATGTGCCATTTTAGAACAATTTTTGCTTTATGTTGTAATTCAAAATTATTACCAAAAAGTTTCTAGACATACATCCCAGAATAATTTCTATTTTCCATCAGAGTTTGAAAACAAAACTATCAGGTTTGTTACTTTCCAGCAATGTTGAACTTGGATTTTATTTTGCAAGGGTCCTGCAAAATTGTCACATTTATGATAGGGACGTGCAAAGATCAGCTACTCAGTTCCAGCTGAAACAATAATATGATACAGGATTTTCAGTACTGAAATCCAACCGGGTGACTAAATGATACAGACCCGAACACTAACTCAGGAAACAATAAAAAGCCTCACTAGAAAACAACAGTAACTGCTACCCATTTACCAGAAACAGATTTGATATCACCACAACTGATATGACTGTGTTGAAATTATCATTGTAAAAAATCACAACTGCTATGCCACTGGCTGAAAAGGAGTGTAGCATAAAGTTCTATAGCATCTAGTTTCCATAGTTACTGACTGTATTGTTCACTTCTATCACACATATACAGTAAATATTTACATCAATCCAATCTTGCATTTAAAGCATTTGCTCACATGCCCAGGAAAGCAAAAGCTGTCCTGCAAGACAGATGCCTCAGCAGTACTTATTGATCTACTCACATCTGCATGTTTTCAAACTGCTAGGTTGGCAGAAGCTGGGGCTAACAGCGGGAGCTCACCCTGCTCCCCAGATTCTAATCTGCGACCTTTCGGTCAACAAATTAAGCAGCTCAGCAGTTTAACCCACTGCACTACCAGGGGCTCCATGCAGTCATGCAGGGAAGGTAGTGGCGCTCCATGCAGTCATGCTGGCCACATGACCTAGGAGGTGTCTACGGACAACCCTGGCTCTTTGGCTTAGAAATGGAGATGAGCACCAACCCCCAAAGTCAGACAAGACTGGACTTAATGTCAGGGCAAAACCTTTACCTTTACCTAAGACAGATGCAGAGTATTACATTTGTTGTCTTAATCTACAAATATACAAGGCCATATCATTGTGGAAAATATTGATACAGTGATAGTCTGTGCAGATGCTTTGATTTCTCTATAGATTCATGGAAAGAGTTTATTTACAATAATAACGTCCAAAAGAGGCACATTTCAGCACACTGTTACTTCCACTTTTGCCTCCATCTACTCACATATTCCAAGAAGCAGGAGCCAATCTCACTCAGGTGGGGGTAATCTTTGTTGAACTTCTTCTCTAGCGCTTTAACAAATTTTTTCTGGCACTTGTAGATGTCTTCAATATTTCCAAAAATAGTCTTCAGCTGTTCCTCTGTGAACATGTCTGCTCTTTTACGGCATTGTTTTATATAGCCCTAGTAAGAAAAAAAGAGAGGATCCTGATGCGAGTTAAAAAAAGGGACAAACTCAAAAAGAACTGCATTCCATCTCATTCTTGGAAATATGGCTAAACAGGTTGATGGGAAACTCTGATGGCGCTCAATAAGGTCAAGCCCTTTAATAAGAATTGGATTGACAGTATCACCAAAGAAAGTAACATGCAAAAATAGGATTTGGCAGGAATGTGACAACACTCCTTCTACTTCACATATTGCAACATCTTGTGCCACAAAAATAAAAAAACTGTTTCCTCTTTCTATGTCGTGTGAACAGATCTGAGCATCGGGAGAGAGAAAAACCCTCTGCTTCAAAGTTATCTAGAATTAAAAGTGAAGTAGAAGGTTCCAATGAAGTAAAGCTACATTATTTCCAAAGTAACATTCAAAAGCAAAATGATGAAACTGCAAGGAACTCAAAAAGTTGTGAAAAGTACTCTGCCAGCATTTCATTCGGATTTGGATTGCTTAGACAATGCTTCTCAACCTGGGGGTCGAGACCCGGAGGGGGGCGGGGCGCAAGGAAGGTGTCACAGGGGTCGCCAAAGGCCATCAGAAAACAGTATTTTCCATTGGTTATGGGGGTTCTGAGTGGGAAGTTTGGCCCAATTCTATTGTTGGTAGGGTTCTATTTCTCCAAATTCCACCAATGTTCACATTTTGGCATATTGAATATCCATGCCGAGTTTGGTCCAGATCTATCATTGTTTGAATCCACAGTGCTCTCTGGATGTAGGTGAACCACAACTCCAAAACTCAAGGTCAATGCCCACCAAACCTTTCCAGTATTTTCTCTTGGTCATGGGAGTTCTGTGTGCCAAATTTGGTTCAATTTCATCATTGGTGTTCAGAATGCTCTTTAATTGTAGGTTAACTATAAATCTCAGCAACTACAACTCCCAAATGACAAAATCAATCCTTCCCCAATACCACCGGTATTCAAATTTGGCCGTATTGGGTATTTGTGCCAAATTTGGCCCAGTGAATGAAAATACATCTTGCATATCAGATATTTACATTATAATTCACAACAGTAGCAAAATTACAGTTATGAAGTAGCAACAAAAATAATTTTATGGTTGGGGTTCACCACAACATGAGGAACTGTATTAAGGGGTTGCGGCATTGGGAAGGTTGAGAAACACTGGCTTAGAAGCAGGTAAAACTGGACACTTGATATCTGAACCCTTGTGAAATGCCACTTCTTTCTCTCCTCTGTCATCAAAAAAGGCACATAGGACAATGTTTCAGTTCTATGGGGGAGAAAAAACCTATAGTGACATAAATTATTACATTTATACAACATAAATTTCGTGAAGGAACATATTGCTTGAATCGTCATAAAACTTTACATTAAAAAGTAGAAAAACAATAGAATATTTAATGTACTAATTAACTAAAAACTCTTTTGGAGAATTACTACAGAATTCTAGATTCCAAACATAAATATATTTCTTTTCTTTAAATGTATTTCTACCCATATTGTTGTCTGTATGACTTCTTACCTCACATATGTCCTTCAGGTGTTTAATGTAATCTCTTTCTGTGCTCAGGATTTCATTGATCACATTAGTTCTCATTTGATCCTTAGTTGTATGCCCTATCCCATAGCGGTGGGCAGCATTTCTGGAGTCTTCCTCTCTGCCGTCTTCTAGCTTCAAAGGATAGTCCTCCATTGGTTCATCCTGGTTCACCCGAAGCTGTTGCAAACAGAAAGGTTTCCCTCATATAAAGTATGGCCAGATTATATGGACTTCCTTTGCTGTCCTTGTGCTGCCCAGTATGGAGATTCAAGGGGGAGAAACTTGAATCTCCATATTGGAAATTTCAAGGACTTCATATAGCATTTTTGTGAACACTTACAATTCTTTGGCTTGGAATACAAAACTAATGTTTCTTCATTATGACCACATGAATTCTACTTCAGCTTGGATTTTAGTTTGAGAAAAATGAATTTTAAGAGGGCTGGAAAACAAAATTTTGCTTTCTCTGAAGATTAAAATTGTGACCCTCTTTTTTCCATGAAAAGAAGAATGTGCAAGATTGATATTTCATTCTCACCACTACAGGGTTTTACTACTACAACAACAATCTCTATCCCCATCCTATGGGTAATTTCGCGCAAGATTGCTGTTTTCTAGAGGAATCTTATACATACAAAAAGCAGCAATCTTGCACAACAAAATCTTGCACAACAAAATTCCTGTGCAACAAAAGTGTTAAATAAAACCATCAATGTTGTACAAAAAAAAATCTCACGCAATAAAAATATTGTAAAAATACACACTTTTTTGTTTCATTTTCAAAATCGTGTCAATTTTTGTGCTAGAGTTTTGCACTAATCCCACAATTTTTTTGTGCGCAATAATCTGAAAAAAATCTGGGATGTGTAAATATTTGGCAAAAATTGTGCACAATTCTTCCCCTTGTATTATTCTTCCCAACAAGGGCTGCCATATAATGCAGTTCAAATGCAGTATACATATAGTCCCTGTTCTTAAGCGTTAGGAAACCAATTTTTCAGCCAAGAAACGAATACGTCCCAACATAGTTATAACACAAAGAGATCATACAATGTTTAAGATTCCAAAACACTTTAGAGATTTCAATAGTGCCTTTTCAAATGCCCAAGAGAACCCAGAAGGCTTCTCTAGATACTTAAAGGAACATAGAGAAATCTCTACGGAAGGACATTTCACAACTGTGACATTGCCTCTGTAAATCTGGCTCACACAGAATTGAGCCAGGACTTTATTTATTTCCTCAACTTCCACAGAGTTTGCAGAAGCTGCTGAATTATCTGTAAAAAAAAAGTGGGTTTAAAAAAGTTTTGATATATAATCAATTTGTTTTACAACTCTTGGGATGTGTTTACTACTTATGCTTCAGGTCAAGCATTCACATAATTTCAACCAGATGGCTGACATAACATAAAATTTTAACTGTGACTTTATTTATTACTGTCATCCCTGAAATGATAATGACGTTTTAATGCCTCCAAAAATGCCAATCTGAGATTGATAGCATTGTTCCAGAATGCCCACTGGATGGCAGTAGAAGAAGAAAGAAAATCAAGACTATTCAATACTTTATTGCCTTTATGTTTTTAAAAAGTATTTAAATTAAGGACTCGAGCACTGCAACCTCAATTTAAAATGTGCGAGCTGTAGGGGATCTGTATAATGTACAAGACTCTTTCTGACAGCAGAACTGATCTGCTGGTATGGCTGGCAGAAGCCCCTTATGGGAGCTGACCTAAAGATCTTCCAACAGAGCAGATTCCAGAATAGCCTTGGTAGCAAACATCTTCTGGCAGAAGAGCAAAAATGGGTGAAGAAGGAATGGGGCAAGAGAGGAAACAAGTGATGTCATGTTCAAATCTTTTCCAGCCCAGGGATAGAGCTACTAAAGCAAAGGTAAAGGTTTCCCCTTGACAGAGTCTAGTCCGACTCTGGGAAATGGAGCTCATCTCCTTTTCTAAGCCAAAGAGCCAGAGTTGTCTGTAGACGCCTCCAAAGACATGTGACCAGAATGACTGCATGGAGCGCCATTACCTTCCCACTGAAGCAGTACCTATTGATCTACTCACATTTGCATGTTTTCGAATTGCTAGGTTGGCAGAAGCTGGGGCTAACAGCAGGAGCTCATCCTGCTCCCTAGATTTGAACCGCCGACCTTTCAGTCAGCAAGTTCAGCAGCTCAGTAGTTTAACCCTCTGCACCACCAGTGGGTTTGTGCTGCTATGTCAGCACAAAGTATGGCCTGGATTAAGGTGGTCTGGAGCAATTTCAAAAACCCATAGGGCTAGGATCTTCAACTGGCCCCTGAACATCTTGCCAGTGAAGGTGGTAACCTTAACCTACAGTTGGGCCCCTAGCCTCAGAATTTCATTGCAAAGTTTTAATATTAGTAATTTGATTTAGTTTCACCACATGTAGGTTACTCATAATCTTGTACAATTTTAGAGAAGCATGTTCTACTTCAGCCATAGCATCGAGGTAAACTATATTAAACAGTTTGCCTCAATGCTATGATAAATGTAAATTGCAGAACATAGGTTATGGCAGACCTATAGCAACACCTGCCATGTGTCTACTCAGAAGCCAGCCCCATTGAGTTCTAATTCGTGCAGCCAAGTGGGGATCTGCAGTTCCCAAATACTCCAAAACCATTATCTCTACATGGTCACAACTGACCATACAGTTGCAGCCTAAACCTAGTAAACATAATTAGAAATTGATTGCTGACTCTACACCTGTAGTTTAACATCCACAGCATCTGAAATTTACGTTTGTGAAGCTGTAAGGTAATATCACTATTTAGTAACCTGTGCTGGCAAACAATAGGTATGTCTAAGTGTTTATTTGATTAAGTATAGGATCTGGCCAATTGGAGTATCGATGAGCATTTTATCCTGGAATTCACATAAACATCACTGATATGAAAGCAATGCATTGTACATAAGCAGCCAAACAGGATTTGGTTTATGTTAAGTCGGTGTTAAATATGCTACATTATACCTTTAGTATTAAAGGAGGGGTTGAAAAGCCAAACACGATTTCAAGCTAAGTTTGAAATCTCCTTTAATGATAGCAAAGGAACAGGATTTATAATTGAATACAATTCCTAAGCCATATACACTCCTCAAAAAACAAGGTAATACCATTACAAAAAGAGATGGCGCAGCTCTGCTAATTGAACAGAAATTGCCCCAAAGACCTTTGTTAGAAAAGACACACTCAGTTCTAAGTGCTGAGCAGGAATAATTCCTCATTATGATTGCTCAAATTCCTTTGTAACTCTTATTTTTCCAGACCTCAGAACTGTTTGTTTCATTTGCACACAAAAAGCATTCTGAAGCTTCGGCCTGCCTCTGTTTTTCCCTTGCCCCAGGATTTCTTCCTCACTCCTTACTCTCCTATTCAAAGCTGAAAATAAACACTGTATATACTCAAGTATAAGCCTAGTTTTTAAGCCTTTTTTTAGGCTGAAAAAGCCCCCCTTGGCTTATACTCGAGTCAAGGTTATTTATTATTTTACTCAGTTGTTCTTGTTACTATTATTATTAAGTTTATTATTTTACTCTATTTATTATTATTATTACATTTATAATTTAACTTTATTATTGTTATTACATTTTTATTTTACTCTATTATTGTTATTAATACACTTTTTATTTTACTCTATTCTTATTATTAAATTTGTTATTTTACTCTATTATTACTGTTATTATTACATGCCCATTATTTTATTCTATTATTTTAATTTTTATTACATGTATTATTTTACTCTATTGTTATTGGAAAAATATGTAAGCACATTTACATTGAAGAAGGTAAGAATAATAGTTTAACCGGTGGCGCAGTGGGTTAAAGCACTGTGCCGGCAGGACTGAAGTCTGACAGGTCGCAGGTTCGAATCCGGGGAGAGGCAGATGAGCTCCCTCTATTAGCTTCAGCTCCTCATGCGGGGACATGAGAGAAGCCTCCCACAAGAATGATAAAACATCAAAAATCATCCAGGCGTCCCCTGGGCAACGTCCTTGCAGACGGCCAATTCTCTCACAACAGGAGCAATTTCTCCTGACACGACAAAAAAAAAAAGGAAAAAAAACTGTCATACAGTCTTATCTTACAGTTTTATGTAAATATTCATAAACATTTAACCTACTGGTGCCTTCATTAATGTAATTTTATTGGTATCTATTTTTATTTTGAAACTTACCAGTAGCTGCTGCATTTCCTACCCTCGGGTTATACTCGAGTGAATGGGTTTTCCCAGATTTTGTGGTAAAATTAAGTGTCTCAGCTTATATTCAGGTCAGCTTATACTTGAGTATATATGGCAAATAAAAGTAACACAGTGTAATTCTATTCATGTGTATGGATGTACTTATTAACAGGCAAGTAGGTACAGAACTCCAGTCAAACCCCTTCAGTGCATTCCCTGATACACACACACACACACACAAATAGATAAGAAAAGCATATGCTTGTTTAAATCACATTGAAAGCCATTGCCCACATAAGGGCAATCTAGAGCAATATCATGAGGAACGAGTGGATCGAAAAATATTACTTTTGTTGAATACAATTTTGTCCAACTACCATGGGAGTTTTAGTCCAAAAAATTAACTTCCCCTATCTTTACATAAGCAGATGTGATAGAATACTAGAAAAATGACAAATATGTGTCCACTGTGTCAGCGTAGTTAATGGGAACACACACAAAAATGTGTCCTCAAAATGCCTCCTCCCTGCAAAAGACCTTGCTGTTAAGAAATGCATTTTAACACAACAAATGGCTTCTTACCCGTACAAAGCTGGCTGGGAACCATCCTTCACTGTCCATGATCCTGCCCCACCACCACTCTTTATTAGTAGCATCCATTACTTCGATGACATCACCAGCCTTGAAGCCTAGCTCTTGATCATCCATGGTGACATGATCCCAGAGTGCTTCAGCATACACCACTCCGCCATCACTGATGAGCTGGAAAAGAGAAAACAAACATTTATACAAATGTATCTTTGGAAAATAGCCATATTTTCTCTCATCTAAGAACTATCTTGGAGAAAGGGAGCTTGATATTGGGGTGAAGTACATCCACATGTTGGGACATCTTGAAAGTTGAGCTAGGGGTAGGAATAAAGAGAAGAACTTGAGAGTACGTGAAAAATATTACAGCGTCAGTGTGTCTGCTGTCTGTTCATGATGCATGATAATTTGGACAGATAGCTAAAGAAGTCTGCCTGGGTTGGGGCTTTTTAAGCCTTTTCAATCCATAATTTATTTATTTTATTTACCCTATTTGTATCTCGCCATTCTCACCCTGGAGGGGACTCAAGCCGGCCTTACAACAAGCAGCAATTTGATGTCATACACAAATATCAAATAAAAAATTAAATTAAAACCAACAATTAAAATATGAATAATTAAAAATCAATTAAAATCATGCCATCCAAAACATAGTCCAGGGCCATTCCATTTGTCAATCACATTGAGTCTTGGTCACTTATTGCACTGCTCCAATTACTTGTGAAAAGCTTGGTCCCAAAGCCACATCTTATCTCCCACCAGATATACTCCTCTATTTATCTATCTCACCCAGGGCTTTATAATTTTACCCCTTGCATTTGGCCCAGCTCACTGTGTTCAATTCCATTATTTGATTTTATATCCTGTGTTTACCCTATTGTATTATTTTGTTATTGTTTCCATTTGATTTGATGTTATTATCTGTTGTATGTATTTTACTTTGTTTATTGTAATTCTTTGGCTTGGCCTCATGTTAGCTGCCCCAAGTTTCCTTGGGGAGATGGTGGCAGGGTATAAATAAAGTTTTTTATTGTTGTTGTCGTTATTATTAGTATGGTTTGTGCTGAAGGTCAGGAGAGAAGGGGTCGATCTGATTTTGTTGGGGAGGGATTTCCATAGATGAGTGGCCACCACTGAGAAGGCCCTGTCTCTTGTCCTGACCAATCGCACCTGCAAAGGAGGTGGGACTGAGAGCAGGGCCTCTCCAGATAATCTTAACCACAGGGATGCTTCATAGAGGGCGATACGTTCGGACAGGTAAGCTGAGCTGGAACCGTTTAGGGATTTATAGGCTAAAGCCAGCACTTTGAATTGTGCTTAGTAGTAGACTGACAGCCGGTGGAGCTGACATAACGGGGGTTGTATGCTCCCTCTTTTCATCCAAAAATACGTGATCCCAGGTATATAGGCATATAAAATGAGTATAAAAATAAAACAGGTTGATTTTCCTTTTTATGAAGTACAGCTGGAACATTTTCTATACGTCCACTATAAATACTGAATGTTGTTGCTAACAGCATCATGTAAATGTCTAAAACAGCCACTAGGTGGCAAAACTTTTATTGTTGCCAAATATTTCATTATTATTATTTATTAAACTTTATTTGTACCGCGCTAGCATCTCCCGAAGGATTCGATGCGGTTTACACAGGCCGAGGCCTCAACACACAACATAGCAATACAAACTAGGCAAATCAAACAATTAAAAACAGGATAAAGCAAATAAACAACAGGCAAAAGCAATACACTAACATTCATGACACCAGCATTGAGCTAAGGGGACTCCTTAGCTCAATGGTCCCACAGTTTGAGTGGCAGTGGCCTAAATGACCAGATACCTTTTTGAGAGAAACCCAGATGATATTTTCAAGTAGATTAGTGACTATTGCCATATACCCAAAGTTCCATAGGATTCAAAAGTATTGTAGACTACAACAGGTTATCACAGAAATGTGTGTGAATATGTTTCTGTGATCTTATCATCAAACATATGTATCTTCTCCACCATCATTCATCTCAAATGGGCAAGTTGCACAGAAGGACCTAAGGGGGCTAAATGTTGATGTAATATTTCTGGCTAATGTAATATTATTTTGAACTTTCTTTCTTTCTTTCTGTACTGCACAACAAACCATCTGGGAAAAGTTCACATTCTATCATTACAATATGGAATGAATTAACATGCACTTTGGATTTCAGAGTTCCACCGAGACAAGATAAAGATGAGAAAAGTTTTTTGGGAGAGGAGGTTGTTCTGTTTTCTTTTGGAACACAACATTCAATGGTCATGTCAGAATTTACTTAACTCTGGGAAGAGTTAAGGAAATTCAACCCTATCCAGCCCTACCATGCCTCGTGGTTTACAACTCTGTAAGGAATTTATTCCATTTATCCAGGTTATTTTTCTTCTGCATATTTACCTGTATGTATATATATATACACACACACATCCCTCCATGGGAATTGCCAGCAATCTTCATTATCAGCTATTCTGGCTAGGGCTATTGGGAGTAGCAGTTCAACAATAGGAGAGCAGCATGGATCTCACACACAATACTTACCATCACATACTTAGAATAATCTCTTCCCCTATCTCCTGTTGTCTGATCAAGTGTCTTCCAAATTATAGCTGAAAAGCAACCATTCAAATACCTGCTTCCCATAGCAGACCGTTTCCACAGTGTACATAGTAACTCTCTATAATTTACTCAAATGTATGTACTATCTATATTCAGCAGATCTTGTGCCAAGTAAATTCACATTGAACTGCAACCCAAGGATGCAATCCCAAGCATACTTTCTTGGAAGCACCACTGAAGCAACAGGATTTATGTCAAAATAAATATTCCTAGTGTTGTGCTGTTAAACTACTATTACAAAGAATACCACTGAAGGATTTCTGCAGCATAATAAGATGGATGTCTCTGAATAAGCAGGTAAGCCATATCAGCTTATATGAAAATCATATTAACTTTCAAATGTAGATAAGCTTTTTGCCAAGCACAAGGCTGAGACGTACAATCAGTAAGTCAGTACAGCCCACGGTGCCAGTTGCTCTGCTTTGTTCTCGTGTTTCACTTAGCAAAGTTAATAGGAATATGTTAAAGAAAACCTTCTTTCCTTTGCAGTCATACCATTATGCAGTAAGCTAATTAACATCTCTGGAAAGAACACAGCCTAAAAGGCTTTATCAGACACTATACCTACACCCTTAGCATGTTAAAAATGAAAGCCAGCAGATGGAGTGAAACTGCGAGGTTACACTATATTTTATGAAATAAAAAAAAAACACCTACCCAAGATACAGTAGGCTCTATAAATTGGCAAACATGATGCCAGGGGGTGTGGGGTGGGGGCTCCAATGTCAGTAGATGGTAAATCTGCTCCAAATTTTGGTCAAAACATTAAGGGAGGTTTCCAAGGTGCTTGGACTTATTCCCACAATAGATTCTGACCTTGATACTTTCTGTAAAACACAGACTAAAACCTTGAGTGGATTCACCATCTCATTGATATTGCAGCTACCACTCCCAAGTATCTATCTGATTTCAATTCATGGCATCTTCATGGATGAGACTCCCAAGTCACCTTGTCATTAACAGCACTGCAGACTCAGAGATGTGGCTTTCCAGACTGGGTTTATCCATTTGGAATGAGGACTGAAGAAGCATCAAACAATGTTCTCCATGGCCAAATGTAAACTGATTATATCATTTGTTGAGACAACTGGAGGAAAATCCCCATCTTCTGCCACCCCCCTCCCCCATGTACATGGATTTTTTTTTGTTGTTGTGTCAGGAGCATCCTCTTGTGAGAGAATTGGCCGTCTGCAAGGACGTTGCCCAGGGGACGCCCGGATGATTTTGATGTTTAATCATCGTTGTGGGTGGCTTCTCTCATGTCCCCGCATGAGGAGCTAGAGCTGATAGAGGGAGCTCATCCGCCTCTCCCCGGATTCGAACCTGCGACCTGTTGGTCTTCAGTCCTGCCAGCACAGGGCTTTAACCCACTGCGCCACCGGGGGTTCCATGTACATGGATAGTGAATATTATAGTGAAAGTGCAACTCCTGGGTGTGTGAGGACGAAGCCATATGATAGTTCTATCATTGGAAAATTTACACTGTACTTATTCATGTAACTTAACCAAAGATGCTACACTTCACCTAGGTGCTATAATAATAATAATAATAATAATAATAATAATAATAATAATAATAATACTTTATTTATACCCCACCACCATCTCCCCAAGGGACTCAGGGTGGCTTACACGAGGCCAAGCCTGACAACACATCAATAAAACAGAAAAGCAATTAACAAAAAACAATACAATTAATACAAATCACATATAAATAATAACACACAAGGATTTAGAAACCTATTACTATACCTTACCATACCTGGGAGGAATAATGTGGTTATGTCTTTTCCTTGACATTTAGTTTTCTATACACAACATTGTATTTTCTTAGATAGATAGATAGATAGATAGATAGATAGATAGATAGACAGGCAGACAGCTATGAAGTAGATAACAGAGCATAGAAATGAATGAACTCCCAATTGAATGGTGTGGCAAACACTCACGACTGCCACATTGGTGGAAGTAAGGACCAGATCTTAGAAATTGAAAGACAGTAATCTAGTCCTTTTCTTTATTCTTTTGCAGGCTGCCACTCATCATCAGTTGCCATGAGAGGTGAAGAATTCATATAATATAAGGCTTTCCATTTGCTAAGAATACACCTACAGTCCAAATGCCACACATGCCTTTCGAGTTACACGTTCACTGTACCAGCCAGGTGTTCCAAGTGTTCATTGGCATTTGAACACATCAGCAGCTGTTGTTGGCTATTTAAAGTGGCCTCCAGTTGCAACTTGTTTGCTTCCTTAAGAACTGAAACCCTATGGATTTTTCTCTAAGTATTTTGTGTTTACTTCTTGAAAGTCTATATAGGGGGTGGGGTGGAGGGGGATAAATAGATCTATTGCCAGAGATTCTTGTGAGTTGGAGCAGAACAAATATGACCAAGGAAAAAGAAAAAAGAAACCACAGACACTCAGTTAAAATAATCACACTGAAAGGAAGCAATTTATTTCTCCGCATAGCTATGCAAGTTGCCAAGCTATACATCTCTGTTCATATTCTCATAATCACTCCCATTTGTCTCAA